TTCTGTGCGTGTTTGTGTAAAACTAATGTTCGAATTTCTGTATCAAAATATATTCCATGTTTTTCCGCATGTTATATGCGTTAAATATGTGCCACTGAGTGTTAAACAAACAATCAATCAACCAAGTAAGCAATATCCCAATCAATCAATCAAAACTTAGATCTGAAAATGACGTGGTTTTCCGCAAGATAATATTGTCAATCTAATTGTAGCACAATTGGTCGAAGTGAAAACATGTAAAATGTAATATAATGATCAAATATTTGAATGTATTTAAACTGTGATGCTGGTTTCACTAGCCATTATACCATGCATCCCATGTTATGCAGTTTGCTAAACACGTGTAATAACACGATATTATATGTGACGAACTCGAAATTGCAATCTTTGTAAAAATTATTTTATTCTCCTAATCAATCATAGGACTTCAAACTGTGAAACTATTTTGTGTCGATATGCTCTATATCGTCACTTTGACATCTGTTACAAATCGTGAGTTGAAATGTTTAAAGGGTCCTGTCTGGTGAGTGTAATCTTAGTGTAATGTCAGACTGTAGATTCAATAATAAACTTTGTACACGGTACCATTGATACTATAAATACTGTGAATACAACATTAAATAAAATGAAAATATAGTTTCTGTACTAAATATATAAAAAAAATTGTTTGGCCTTGGGAAATCACTCAACTATCTGAAACATAATTTTTCTCCAGGACTTTGTTAGCTACCGGTTCTTTCGTGGAAAGTACTCCAGCTGACAAGCCACTACGCTCAACTTGAACAAGACAACTGAAAAAAGAATGACAAAGTGAAGCTTCGTCTGACGGCCAATGCGTGGCAGTGGACCAGCCCCCGCGTGACGGTGGACTACAATGTTTTAAGTTGTTGAGTTGAGGTTGGAGATGGTAAATGAACAATGCTTGGAAAATGAATGAAAATTATGAATGATAAGTGAAATATTTCAAAAGGTGCCAAACAACTCTGATGAAAAAGTGATAAGAAATCAGAAAATGTCTGAGTGACCGACAAGTATTTAGAATGAGGAGTCCCCCGGGATCACCTTCAATAAGTCAATAATACGACAAATAAAAGAAACAAAATACACACATGAAGCAGACATGTAGTACTTATGTCCATAAATTCAAACTGTCTCTAGCAATCTAGAGACCAACGGTATACGTTTTTATCATGTGATCCTCTATTTTAGCTTGACCAGCTGCGGTTCCAGCACCTATTCTAAATGAATGACATGAAAAGTTTTTAGGATCATATCCGCATAACTCTTGAACATGTGTGTTTTTTTGTTATACAAAATTATCTTTCCATTGCTAAATTGCCAATTAATACAAAATGAGGGTCAGTGTTCTGATAAGGCGGTATACACTTTTTCCTGGTCGCTAAATATCTTTTTAAAACAAGATAAGGACAAATGTGACTATTAATTTTGTGAAACTGAATATCTATACCCTTACGAAATGTACCAGTTTTTGACTGTTTTAAGTGTAAGTTAGCAACATTGTCTGTGAATAAAATGTCTGATATACATAAATTAATTGTAGGTTCTAATTGGTCGGATTTGATAACAATTATTTCACCGCATCGGAGAAAGCCAAAGAAAAAAATCACGCTAGCAGTTTCTATCACGACGTCAATGAACTATGAAAAAAAAACTCCCTTTTGTAATCTTTTTATAATTTTTTCAAGAATTTCAAAAGTGATAGGTAGCCTTACTCTCTTGTTCTGATTTTGAGATCGTTTGACAGAATTTAAGATCAATGTAAGCCTATGACATGGTTTGCCGTTACACAATTCCAAAGGACCACTACAATTTTCCTTCAAATAATTGTACCTTATTCCACAGAGATAAAGTGTAATGGTAGAATATTGAAGTTTCAGAACTGTTTGACAATGGGCAACAAAATAAATGAGGATTTCTTCTGAAACTGGGCCCAAGTTATTTGTAAATGTTATTCAACAGTAAACATCTCTTAAAAATGCATGACGCCAATATCATACACGTCCTTGCTCCTCTTATATATAGACGTCGTCAATAGTTGTTCGACAGTTTGATTAAACACCATATTACATTTGAGATGTTGGGACACGGGTCCGGAAAGGGGTCTACATCCGGTGCCAGTGTTCTGAATCTTATTTGAAATCTAGATAAGGTATCACTTATATCGGTTGTAAACCTGGCACGTGTTTGCACATGCGCACCATGTTAATTTTCTCATTAACTTCATAATATACAAACATTTTGATCTGCCTTTTCTTTATAATCTCGACTGTAGACATATTATCAGACCAAAATAACACTTTTTTGTTTTCCATGAGGCGCCCCATAAAACAGCTGCCACAACGATCGGGTACAATTCAAGAAAAGCCATTGCATGATTACTGTTTGTGATGTTTTTTATTTTTGTCGGCCATGACGAATAAAACCACTTTCTACCAAAATATTCACCAAAACCTATCGGTGACCATGCATCCGTGAATAATTCTATATCGTAATTAGATATAAATGTAGAATTATAAAACATATTAATTCTATTCCAATTGTTTAAGAATAGTAACCAACAATCGAGATCTGTCCGACATTCTTTATCTAAACGCACATAATGATGTTATTCTTTCGCTTTGTTTGATAAATTGATTAGATAAGACACAAATGACCTGCCTGGTAGTATAACTCTTCATTCAAAATTTAAATGCCCAAGCAGCTGTAGAACCTCTCTCTCAGATCAAGAGAATCTAAAACTTATATTTGAAATAAACTCATAAATTCAAATAATTTTTTCCTGATGTAAGCGGACTTCCTTTTTTTGTGTATCGAGGATGATGCCAAGATATTCAAGACACGTTACAGGGCCAACAGATTTATGCATTGCTATTGGAACATTTAAGCGTTTAAAAATCATCAGAGCTGGTAATCAGATGATCCCATGTCCCAATCTACATAATCTATGAAGTGAAAATGCATTATTATTTTTTTCTAATTTTTTATCTTAGGAATTTGAACATGGAATAACTTTTGAGAAAAAAATGTGTTCAGCTGTTGCAGTCGTTGATTTTACCAAATATGAGGTTGACTTCGAACTTCGAATGGACGGGAGGCGCTGTCCACAATAGATAAAGGTTGGAGTGACAAAATCTACATGAAATATGCATAGTTGAATAAAAAACTCTTGCCTGGAGTTATACAGTTAAGATGTTAGGTTGTGGTGAATCAATTGATTAACTTAATTGCTGTAGAAAATGGAACTGAGACATTGTTCAGTGATTCACTGGTTCTGCATACCTTTCCTATGTTTGTAAGTTTATTTCTTTGGTTGGTACAATTGAAATAATGGAATTATAAATTCCTTCAAAACGAATCAGTTCCGTAAGTGTTGGTGATCTTTTAATCGTTGTACTTTTTCGAAAATATTAATAATAAAAGGTTAATTTTAAGGAGTATATAAATGTGTAAACTCGCCCCTTTCACTCAGAAACCTAAAATACAGTTAGAAAAGTATTCAGTTTGTGTTAGTGTGTCGAACAACGAGTTTACACATAAATTATCCTTACTACTAAGGAACGTATTGATCACATGTAATTAGAACATTAACGTACATGTATCTGTGCTAAACAGGCTATTGATTAATATTCAGTAAATAACAGATTGATTGAAGATGATGTGGCATATGTACGTGACTGTACAGAATCTCAAATGTATAATACATGTGGTGGATAGTTTTCTCATTGGCAAGCATACCAAATCTTTATTTTATGTTTGTATTGTCATTTCTATCTCCCCGACTTTAGGAATCCTACTCATGATCCCTCAAATGAGCCTTAATCTTTTAAAAAGTATTATATTTAGTTTTTTTTTTTATAATTTGACACAGTGCTGAATACGCATGATGAAAAAAAAGAAACAGCATAATTCTTGCATAGTGCAGACAAAATAGCGGCACAGAAGCTTTGTCTGTTGTGTTCATACTTCCAACATTGGACAACACCAACTTACCCTGAAGAAAGTACAAACAAAGTGATACAACACATGGTTCAATTAGCTGAAATTGTACAGGTAGAACATGCGATGGGGTTAATAGTTATCAAAGGTACCAGGCTCATAATTTGATACGCCAGACGCGCGTTTCGTCTACATAAGACTCATCAGTGACGCTCAGATCGAAATATTTAGTAAGCCAAAACAAGTAAAAAGTTGAAGAGCATTGAGGACCAAAAAATTCCAAAAAAATTTTGCCAAATACGACTACGGTAATCTATGCCTGGGATAAGAAAATCCTTAGTATTTCGTTAAGCAATTACCAAATACTGTTTCATTGCCTATGTAAATCGTATGTCGTAAAACTAAAACACCTAAAATAAGGGCGTTTGCACATTCCAGCTATAGATTGTCACTGACTTGAACACGAAAAGTCGGCAAATAATTTGAAAAGCAGGGTCAACATTTTTTCAGGCTACCACAAAAAAACTTTTACGAACTCTTAAGACAATGTATAAACAAAGAAAAGAAAAGAAGTTACGACAATCTGTACATTTGAGACTGTTATATTTAAAAAAAGAAAAAAACAATACGTGTTGAAGATTACGAGGTTTTTTTTATGTTTTCATGTTAAACTCTGTTATTGGTTTATTTATTAGTTTTAAGAACTTAACTGATAACCCTTTATATCAAATGATGTATTTCTTGTCTGTAGATTCAAGGTCACATACGAGGAAACCCTGGGTTTTTTTAAAGTTGATATTATAATCGTACCAAGCCTCCCTACATGGGGCGATGACTGTTATTCATGATGTTTTATTGAAACTCGTTTTGAAAGTGTGCCTACATGTAGCTACTTGCATGCATCATTAAATTACGTTTACTACTCAGATGTTTCGTTTTAGTGCACCATATCACTTTCCAAAATATTATTTTAAACTCTAAAACATAATATAAAATAACAAGTAAAGCGTTTATAAAATATAAGTGTAGAACGTTTTTAATTATTTGTCAGGATCCACACATAAATTCCTGCAAGAGAACTGGCAACACTTCCGTTTACCGTCACATTGGCTATCACGTTCACATTCAGACTTCCTGAGATAACATGTACGTTGTGCAGTTAATTGACTAGGATCATTTGGACATTTCCCAGGCTTAGGATCTATAGGAAATTGAAAAATAAACATTAAACAGAAGCATTTATGTTAAAAATTAATCCGGAATCGTATTTTTTATTCGTTGTTGTATTTATTATTTGAACATGTTTGGCTAGTTTTCGGAGGAATTTGGTGTTGTTGATTAGTGAGACTTTTTCACGAACCAATATTGTTTTGGTAAGATCTGTTGTGCCTTTTATGTATTATTGTTAAATTTCACGTATAGATTATATGACATATTGGACAGGGCCTTAACACCGGTTTTTATTTGCACAAACAACATAACCGATGCTATATGTGGAACAGGAACTGCTTTCTCTTTCGAGGTGACATTGGTGCACCCTTAATACTGTTAGTTGTATAGGGAAACACAGTGATGTTCGTCTTTACACACTCCATACCGATCAGCACATCAACTGATCCCTTACCTTCTATCACTTTTGCGTTCATTATTTCGTTTTCTTTATCGTTAAATTGCCGTAGTTGTTTTTTTTTAACTCATCATTATAAATCTTTCTTTTATTAAAATATTAGTGTACGAATTGTTTCTATCAATGGACATACGACGTACAAAAATGTAGGCTAGAAGCTCAAAGACGGTACACTTGTTTCTACCGAGTTGTTAACAGCCCCTGACCAACTTGCAAGAGGCGCATACGTTGAACGTGGATACTTTAGTGTTTTGTGAATAAAACATAATTATGTTTGTATAGCAATGAAAGCAAAATGAATAATAAGGAATCATATAACAATTCATTATATAAAAAGAAAAAAAATAGAATTATGTAATATTGTTATGTTGAATTGTACTGACTTTTGCATTTATGCAATGCGCCTTATTCATCATTTTCATCCAATTTTTATTGATAGTATTAGAAAATTTGGCCAGAAAGTTTCCACATAATGATGTCTTCAATGTCATTTTACATTTGAAGTTCTAATATAATGTCAGCAAGTTACAATCGACAAGTCGGTATTTCCAGGTTCAAGTGCGACCATATATCTACCCATGCATTTAATCGTACATAAATTAAATTAATAAACATCAATGTCTAGACTTTATTAGTCTATCCTCTTTTCCCATTAAATGCATAATGGACCCCTCCCACATTAGAAAGATCTCACCTACCTAGAACTGGATCTCGGCAACATCCGGAGCAACATATTTTTTCCTCGTCACATTTACTGCCAAGAAGCAGATTACAAGATGAACATGTTTCTATCGGATCTTTCGGGCAAGGTTTCTAGAAAAAAATTACATGTCATTGAATACAAACTAAAAATATCTCATCATCAACTCTGTAAAATTATGATAAGTTGATTTATAGAATTGTTTTTGTATTTTCTAGTTGGATTGTCGGACAATTTATGACAGTACATTGTATTTGCTAGATTTCATTGCTAGATAAAATCTATAATTTATTGATATTACACCGCATCTGTGTTTTCAATGCAGAGATGTAACGTGACCAGCCGCTAGTAAATAACTCAACCAATACCAGAACAAGAGACCGTCTTGTATTTTTATGCCACCGGCGTTAAAAGGGTTCATTAAGGTTTACCCTTGTCCGTCCGTACATACGTACCGAAATTGGTTTCCGTTCTCTTACTTTAGTTTGCCTCAACTAAATGTTTTGAAACTTATACATAAACCACAAAACTCAGACCATGTTCCAATTTGGATGGCGTCACTTTTACCAGTCTAAAGTTATGCTCCTTTATCCCGTTATATGCAAGCGGGGGCATCATCTGTGTCCCATGGACACATTCTCCATTTATAATATCAATCTTAAAGCCTGCAATGTATTTGAGATGATGAACATCAATCAAAGCTTTGCTCCTTAACGTTCGGATTTTATCATTTTGTTTTGCAGCATTGATTTTGTGTAATATATTGACACACCATACCATTTCTTTTTTGGGACAAATATTACCTGCGGACATCCAAAATTACAACCTGTTATACATTTCACACCATTTATGATGCGATATGAGAAACCGAAACAAGAGCCAAATGGAGGACTAGGACATGGTGGCAACGGTCCACAAGGATCTTTCTCTGTAATAAAAATACATAATGTAATAGATTCATTCATATAATGGAATGTTTAGTAATGCCTTGCTTTTACGGGTTTTTTTTCCTGTTATCTACTATACTGTTCTCATAGAAATCAGTGTTTGAGTCATTAATGCTCTTCGACTTCGTAATTCATTTGACCTCTTAAGTTTTTGGTTTGAGCGTCACTGATGAGTCTTCTGTAGACAAAATGCGCGTCTGGCTACACAATTTTGTGCCTGTGGTATCTTTGATTAGTTTTATTGTTACTGTACTCATTTTAACGAAACGTATTGTAAAACCACAATATATGAACAATTTGGGAAAATGTTAAAGGTAAGCAATGCTCGACGAGCTTTTCCATTGTTTCGAAGCTAGTGCAAACACATTTGGTAGTTTCCGATTATATACGTTTACTATTTTTGTCCTGCGAGTTAACGTTGACCCTTTGTCTTTATCTGTATACATCATGTATAAAACCAATTTCGTATAACTGTTATTTGTACAACAGTTACCTAATCGGGGATACGTATTTTTCTAGAAACACCACAACAATAAAAGGCCATGCGATGACAAAATGTGAATCAAATTCAAAGGAAATGCAAGAGGCTGAATTATATTACAACAATATTTGCGATGTTTAGAACATTTGCAAGTTGGTCAGCATCAGGACTGGTGAAAAACCTTCACCAAAAATAACATAAACTATGAACATAATTATAAATATAAATATAAAATATGAAAAATCCCAAATATCACATAACATGCATAAGGAGTGGGATATGATTGCCTTTGAGGCAACTATCCACCAGAGTTCAAATGAAGTCAATGCAAGCAATTATAGGCAAGCATATGGCCTTCAACAATTAGAAAAAACAATATAGTCTAGTCGGATTTGAAAGGTTCCGACATAAAAAAAATGTGAAACATTTTAAATAAAAATAACTAACGGCCTAATTTATCGAATCAATCTACGAACAACACATATGGTCGAGGTTTCAGATTATAGTAGGAACATCACAAGTTATAATAGGCAATGCGATGACAAAATGTGAAATAACTTTAAGGGAAATTCACAGGACTGATTCATACAACAACAATTTTGCAATGTTTAGATCATATGCAAGTTGGTTAGGCACCAGGCTTTTGACAAACATTCACTGAAAGGAACATAAACTATGAACATTATAAATGTAAATTAAATAAATTTGATTGAAATAAAAACCCAAACATCATATGTAGACAATTTATATGATATGGTTCTAGTATACTACGGCTTTAAATTGTTTGTGTACTTTCCACATTCATTTAACATAATATAGTGCAAGCAGGTTCCATGTATTGGGCTTTTTTTTAGACAAAGAAAAGATGCTTTTTAAGTGTTTAGAACTTCACCAGATCTATTTTTTTTTATTTATACCATTGATCAATTGCACAAAAGCAGCCTCTATTTTTGTTTGAAGTTTGTCTTTGTATCGATCTGATGAGTTAAGCCTTTTACAACTGATTTTTTTATAGTTTGTTCTTATGTTGTGCTGTTGCACCACTTTCCAAGGTTGGGGGATGGTTAAGCGCTCATATTCATGTTTAACCCCGCCACATTATTTATGTGCCTGTCCCAAGTCATGAGCCTGTAGTTCAGTGGTTGTCGTTGGTTCATGTCTGTCATAATTGTTTTTCGTAAATTGTTTTGATATAAATTAGGCCGTTACTTTCTCCAATTGAATTGTTGCATATGTTTCATGTCGTGGCTTTTCATAGCCGACTATACGGTATGGGATTTTCTCATTGTTGAAGGCCGTACGGTTGCCTCGAATTGGTTAAGTCCACTTCATTTCAACTTTGGTTGATAGTTGTCTCATTGGCAATCAAACCACATTTCCTTGTTTTGATATTACATTTTAAATTCATGTACATTATATGCATCAGTTTCGGATATATGTGCAATAATGAAAATTGTTCTTGTATTAGTTCTTTCGTAGATAGTTGTCTCGTTTGCAAACATGCTACATTACCGTATATTTGTATTGATTGTTCAAAACAAATAGTAACCCACAGACTATACTTACTGACGCCATTACATGATCCCTCGCATTCTGTTTTTGATCTGAAGTTATTCTTGTTGCCATTCCATCCACCATATATAAAAGTTTCACATTTCATCGTGTCAGCATTGTAGAACCATCTTTGGATAGCTACTCCACCTGGTCCACCAAATTTCGGCAAAGTGCATACTTAAAAGAAATGAAAACAAAACGTTATCAATTCCATGCGTCCGTAGCTCTTTTATGGATTGACCGTCACTAAGAACGCTGAAAGCAGAATATTTGAAAGCCAGTGATGTATAACAGCCATCGAAAGTCAACTTTGCTTGAGGGAGTTGACACTATTTATTTTAGTAATTTCTAAACAATTAACGGCAAAGAAAGGACAAATAGATGATTCATGTAACTGCTAAATTCAAAATTAGATTTAATAGCCCTACCCCATGCTATTTATAAAAGCAAATGTCGCTAATTTGTGATCTTTCCGGAGCACACGAGTTCACATCGTTTTTTGCTGGGGATCGTGTAGCTGAATCATTAGTTTTTTGTTCTGTGGACATGTTGACTATTGGGTCTGATTTCTTTTATCGGGGAGGAGACATTGTGTTTTTCTAGAGCATTCTTTTAATTTGCAGCTTGGTACTAAACATGTCTACTGTTTTTTAAGTGTAATGTACAGATAAGTGGTTGTGTTTAGTTATTTTTTTAATGTTTTTGTCTTTTTGTCTTCAGAGGATCACTAACTGTCATCGTTACCACCGAATTTTACTCAAATGTTTAAAATTGATTTATAGCATACTAAAATATTTACCAAAAATACCAGAGTTCAATAAGAAACAATATGCAATGAACGAAAAAGTAATACAATATCAGCATATTGAGCGTATTTTAGGACTAAACGCGATCTAATTAACCATTTTGATGACCTTTAAAAACTTTGGATCATGATATGACCTGATATGAATAAAATTACAACCACCTACAATAGTATAACGACGCTTTTTCAAGGTCTGTTTGATTTCATGTCATAGATTTAAAAAACAAATAATGTAAATCGTCGTTTTACCTGTATAAAAATATTTTTTTTTATTTCGAATCGGTCAACAAAAGCATTCTTCCGGGGGCTCCCTTTCTTCAATGTTCAATACACTCATTATCTTCTTTGCAATAACTGAACATACTGTGCACACGGGTAACACATCTCTTGATAAGGGTTAAATTACTTGTCGTATGTTGCATTTTGCATGCATACGGACCAAAATGAGGTAGAATTTTGAACATAAGACAATTATAATATATCAACGATATTTTGTATCTTATTTTTTCAATATTGAACCAAAATGACTGATTATGGACTCATTGCGGTTATGAGCTTTTTGATCGTTTCAAAAACTTGTCACGTGATGAAGACTAATCTTGAATTCAAAGTATTTGCCTGAAACGGAAATACAAGACAGTTACATGCATTACTGAGAAAATGTAGCTATACATATTAGAAATTCAACAAAAAACAACGCACTTCCATCACAGTGTATTTTGTCATTTAACCTATTAATATAGTGAAAACGGTGAGTAATATTAATACAGGATACATCTTATCTGTTATCGCTATTAAGTTTTAAAAAACAGTTACGTAGACAATTTCCTGTTGGGGTCAAGTGCTGAAAACACAAATGTAATTAGTAATGAGCTGTAAGGAAGGAAAACATTTAAAAAAATAAACATTTGGGATTTTGATAGTATATAAACCAATTGTTCAAAGATAAGTTAGAATAGAATACACAAAAAAGCCGATTAGTTGTAGATGTTACGATTGCTTTAAAATGTTATGCACAATAAATTGTTCAAACAGGGTCCCAGTTAGCTATAACTGGTTTGTTACGTCATGAAAAAGTTGCGTAATTTCAGAACTTATCCGGATTAGAACAAGGACTAATAAAGGTCTATGCACAATATTGGACGAACAATATTTCATTTCTAACGACATGACATATATATAAACCTCGTTTCTTGCAGATGGTTTTACATTCTTTTTTCGTTTTGAAGTTGTTTTCATTGCCGTCACATCCACCATAGTAAAAATCTCCACACATTCCTGAATGTACGTCGTAATAGAATCTTTTCATCCGGGCATTACACGGTCCTACAACTTTTGGTAGGTCGCATACATTATCTGATTGTTGTGCTTCAGCTGTCTATGATGCAAAAAGAAAGATATAATTATAGAAAATACAAATAATGTGTCTATTAAAGGTTTCTTGTAACAAGTGATTGGCCGAAACTTTAAAACACTAAATTAATAATAAATATATCAATGAAATTTTTTCCGGCATTCTTTAATGATATTTACGCTCAACAATATAGATTTCAATCACTCTCATGTACAACAACAACAAGAAAGAATAAAAAACAAGCAAACTGCTGACTTTATGTATTACGACAATTACAGACCTAACCGATGGAAATAAAGCCAATTACATTTTAAATCTCAATAACATTTTCTCAGAACCCGGAGCAGAAGTTGGACAGGGTGCAAGCAACAACAAATTACCAAATTGATTTTTATAACTATTTCCCGGTATGACAAAACGTGTAACAATCCAAAAGAGAAAAACCCGTTTAAAAATAGAATATAAAAAAGAATTTTATATTCTATTCTATTCTGGCTTATACTAAAACAATGGACAGGTTGACAGCAAAAGATTTATTACATGGGACATTCACATACAGTATGTGGCGGGTTTAAATATGTTTGTGAGCTCTCAATATTTCTCTAACAATGGTGTTTAAACATTACATAAAAACAAACTGAAAATTGTAATTGGAAAGGGCTTGTATTTGTTGGTTTCTAGTACCCTTATAATATCTAAGATACCCATGTGAAATTAAGCTTGAAAGAACATTGTCAACAAAATTTGCACACTAGAAACTGGTGCAATCTTTAACTGTATACGCAATAATAATATGTATTTTTTGACGCCTTGCTTATTTCACATAAAATGTCAATATATGGTATTAATATCATTTACCTAATTGTTGGAATCACACACATGCAGCTTTGCAATGTTCAAACTTACCAAAATTGAGAAAAGGAAGATCACTAATGGTCCAATATACATCCTAATTGACCAATATACAATAACAAATTAAGATAAATATTCACGTTCCAACAAAGTACTTTATAATCAATTTCACACAAAGTAAATCCCTTTTTGCAATGTGTTGTTCTAATGTGCACTCATATAAAAACCACTTGTGGCTGTTTGAAATAATTACATAGATTACGTATTTGTTTATGTCTTAGTACGCAAATGTGGTATATAGATTGATAACTTGTTTTTTTTTAGATGTTGTATATTTATTAATCATAACTTCAGTTATAATTTGACGTAACTACAATGAGTGAAGACAATCTTATATGAATAAATATATAGATGTATGATAAACTTTGATGTTATGATGAATACCCAGGTAGTACAAAAACATTTTATTGATATTTTTAAAATAAATTGCAAAATGTCACAAAAATAACATTCAAAAATTTTTTTTTGACGTGAAATGTATGGCTGTACTCATGTGAACAACATATTTTCTAGGAATATTTGTTCTGAATGTTTAAAGAACATTTTTTTTTAAATATTTTGATTTTATATTTAAATAACATAATTTTGATATCATTCAGTGTCAATTGAAAATATCCAGACAACATATATATCAAACGTTTTCCAAAAATGTCCTTTTCATGTCTGTAATATGTTTTATGGATGTCTACCAAATATTTTGAAAATATCAGAGGCAAGTTAAGGTAGAAATATTTCTTGAAAATGTAAATTTAATATTTCAACAATGCTTTATGGATGTCTTCCCAATATTCTTAAAATATCTTGGTAATATAATTGTAAAAACATAATATAAATATTAAAAAAATGTTTTATGTTCAGGCCAACTCTCAGCTTGCAAATATAAGATATTAATCAAATATTAATGTTTTAAGACAGACATATTCTATTGTTTCTATTTAATTCATTCACAATTGTTTTAATAGACTCGGGCCGATTTAATCTTGATATGTCTTGACATATTGTATATTTGATGATACCTGTTTCTTGTTAAAATCTAAGTGTTGTCCTCTAGATATCTATTTTGTCATTTGGTTGCAGTCTCAACTCGTCTACATAACCCGTATCTCTTTTTATTAATATGACAAAATCCCAAAAAGGAAAAATTACAAAAACCTTGTATGCAGTTTAGGATGTTAGGATAAGATGGAACGATTTAATCAACTTGTAGGAAACTGAGCTTGATATATCATGCTGCTTCCGCAAAATCTTCGATAATTCTAAATTTTGAAACTGCAAACCTTTCTGATGTGTGTTTGACTATTTCTTTGGTGAATGTAATTGACATCTGTTCATACTTCCACAGTAGATGAGAGGAAATTACAAAATCAAGTTACGCTGTAGTATATCAATATATTTGAATATCTGATCCGTGTATGTATTTAAACTATACATTTGTGGATATGTCATACACCTACAACTAGGAGTACAATTACACTTACATGCAGAAGTTCAATCTTGGATCGTCTCAAAATGTAAAGGTGTTTTCTTTATTTGAACAACAGAATTTTGAAGATATGTATATACATGTACACTTGAAGTAATGGTGTTACACAGGTTAATCATACTATAAATGTACGTACGGAGTATGATAGAATAGACAAACATCATTTAATAAATTTTAAATGAGACATGCATTCAAGTTTTCGCACTGATCGTTCAGCAAGATTTAGTATTAAGAAAGGGGTGATCGACTAAAGAGTATGTTGAGAATGTTGAAAATTTATGCTAAAACATGCATTTCCACTTTTTAAAAAAGAGGATGAGGGAATCTAGCGGATGGATGTTTCACTTAAGAAACTGAGTACTTCTTTTTATGTTATAGGTACGATGGTATCCTTCTTATCATATGTTTTTGCAATACATGGCGTTAGTGTTTCGACTATCAAAGATGGAATACATTCGTGGATACCTATTTGCAAAGAAACATATAGCCGTCTTATTCATTTATCTTCTTTCGACGAATAGCAGATTTAACAAGGCGGATGGCAAAAACTGTCGTTGACAGTTGAAGCTATGGACGGAACTTGAAGCGAAATGTATCAGCAGCAACGGAACAACAGGAACAGTATTTCATTGAGTTAGGAGAGAGACTAGTATATATATGTTGTAGAGACATATTGGACAATAACTTCCTTTACCAGCTTACTTGTTTTTGCTGGGTTACAAAATATATCCAAGTAGAAATCCAGCATTGACACCTTAAACAAGACAACAGAGTGTTCCAAATCGTCAGAACATGCCTAGGAAGAGTACGCAATTGAATAGACTTACTAATATTACACACTAAAGAGTTGAAGTTGAACACGTCATCAGAGAATTAAAAAATACAAATAATATGGGGCGTCAATAACATCGATTATAATCTGTTGTGTCGATATGCGATGCATTTGTGTGGCGTCGAAAATATTTATTTACATAGTTACAAATCATTTGGTATTACTATGCATCTCTATTGTTGTTTGTTAAGATTATATTTTGAGACGACTACTTATTTTTCATCAACTGTAATCGTAAGTCTATGTCTAATCCTAGGTCTTGGCAAATGTACCGCAAATGTTTACTAGCATACATTTGAACCTGGTTTAATTGAAGTACATGTACCATATTTCGAATTCATTTGTGCATCCTATTAAAGAGTTATTAAAAAAATTCATCGATAAAAAGATTTCCTCAAAAATTGGTCCATATAAATAGACAGTGCTTTGTTCAGTTCCATTAAATCCGAATGCTCCGTGTATTTCTCTTTTCTTTTTCATCTCTATGTGCTCTCATAATATGAAACTTAAGTATGGAATAAATCTGAAGGAAGCTGAATTGAGCATTGGCCAATAAAATAAGATATTGTTCATATATATAAACATATATAGTATGTTGTCATGTCGTAAAAAAAAAAAGCAACAGTCAGCAGCCAGGACAATAAAATGGTAATCAAATACACAAACAAAGTTTATCCTAACTGAAAATAAAAGGAGACGACCAATGATTGAATACTTGTGTAAAAATCTGTTTAGGAAACGTACACCATAAAAAGACATACAAAAATTTCGGACAACACTACCTCAGCTGACGAAAAAACGTATCAAGACAAAAATCAACACATTGTCCAGATAACCTGATATTGTACAGACGAAACATGTGGTGGGGAGCCTGTTTTGCGTGGTCGCAAACGGTTCTCTGTTTTGCTTTACAACATGTCGTAAATGTAAACAAATCCCTTACGGGCGTTTGCACATTCCAACAAGATCGCCACTGACTTGAACACGAAAAGTAAAAACACATTATTTTGAAAACATGGTCAAAATGTGCTCGCTATAACAGGAAGACTAGGTACGCCTTTCATAACATAAAACATCAAAATGTTAACTCTGAAAAAATAGTGTAACCATACAGGTTGAATACTACGCGTTTGTTTTAACTCTGTAACTGTTTATTTTCTTCAATATTTTTATTTAACCGTTATTCCATGATATTAAAAGAAGTGGTTTATTTGTTTGGGATTTACAATCCCACACCCTCCAGCGGGCAATATTCTAAGAGTGTAGAAATTTGACCCAAACTCTCTGACCCTCTTTCCCTATTCACTATACATTTATATGGGTCATCAATGTTATACATTATGTGTTAATTACGAACTCTGGTTAAAAGTGTGCCTAGCTCTGTGTGTTAAAAATAAGCATTATTTGTTAAAATAATCTTTTATTATTACTGTAATGTTTCGTTGGAGTGCTGTCCGATGTTGATCCGGTCCATATCACTTTCCATAAAATTATTCAATCATAAAAAATACAAAATAACATGTGTAGCATTATAAACAATGTTAGTGTAGGACTTTGTATTGTTTATTTGTCAGGATCTACACAGAAATTCCTGCAAGAAAACCGGCAGCACTTCCGTTTACCGTCACATTGGGTGTCACGTTCACATTCAGATTTCCTTAGATAACATGTACGTTGAACAGTTAAATGACTAGGATCATTTGGACATTTCCCAGGCTTGGGATCTATAGTAAATGGAAAAATAAACATTAAACAAAAATATTTCTATTAGAAATAAAAAGAAGGGGAAAGATGATTAAATTCATTAAATTATTTATTTTAAAACGATGTCCGGAATAGTATGTTTTGCTCGTTGATATATTTTTAAATTTTGTACATGTATATATATGATTCGATTTGAAGGAGTATGGACTGTTGTACAGTACAATATTTCTTATAATATCTGGTATGTCTTCTTTGTATCATTGTATAATTTGATACACTTATTATTTGGTGTATTAAACGAATCACGAAGAAGTACATCACCAGCATTGCATGAACAACACCACATGCTTACCTTTCCCGATTAACCGATTAGACCTTTTTTTTTATTTCAGTCCACTATTATATAACATCCCTAATGTGACCCATTACTATATTTTCGACAAGAGTAACACGACGGGTGGTCACGTGTGTAGCAGGAAGTGCTGACCCTTCTATATAATATAAATGCTCCCCTGTGTTTGGTAGGGTTCGTGATGCTCTATTTTTATTTTTCGGCCTAAAGTATAGTTTTTGTTGTTTGTCTTGTCGGTGTTTTAACGTTTTGGCCATGGTTATGTCTGTTCTTATTTGACTCAGAATATGTAATTGCCTCCTTGATATAATATCTCCCTCTTTTGTATTGTCTCTTTTGTTTCTCTTAAATCGTTTTTTTTTGTGTCTTTATTTTTTGTTTGGTGTTTTTTTTATGCGTGCTTCGTGCGGATCTGATACAATGAGCTATTTCCATCTGATTTTACAGTCCGTTCTTATGTTTTGCTGTTACGCTAGTATCATAGTTAAGGAGAAGGAGTTGAACTCTCGACAACAGTGGTAACCCCAATAACTCATATGACCCATTCTCAAGTTAACTTTCTCTTATTATATGACCATCGACCAGTCGTTTTTTTCAGGATCAAGTACGACTATTTTTCTAACCCACTTATTTCACATAAAAATGAATCAAATAAATAAACATTATTTTGTGTGGACTTAATCAGTCTACCCTCTTTTTCGTGCCAATTCATAATAGGCCCTCTCGACAAAAGCAAGATATCACCTACCTAGAACTGGTGCTGGATCTCGGCAACATCCGGAGCAACACATCTTTTTTCCATTACATTCTTCGTCAAGCATGCAATTAGATGCACATGTAACTTGTTGATTGTTAGGACAGGATCCCTGGAAAATACTTTGCATAAATTTCAAACATGTATTTTAGTTTCATATATATGTATACGTTTTATTAATTGTTCATATTACACTGCCACTGTGTTTTTAATGCAGAGACCTCTAGCAACGAATTCCACTACAACATGTACCGTCGCCTTGACCTTTTAATTATTAAAAATGAACGTTTTCGCTCAATGTTAAAAGTCGCACTGTGATTTTGAGATGAAGAAAAGAAACGAAAGAGTTTGCTTTTGGGTTTTTTTTTCATGTCGTTGTGCAACAGTTAACTCGGTCCGGTAGTAAAATGTGTTCGCCAGACTTTTTTCCTAGGTAATCAAGTCTGTTACCATAATTTTACTAGGAAATTAAGTCCCTGGATAAATTTTCCTAGGGAAATAAGTCCATAGCTAGTAAAATATGTCTGGCACTTATTTTCCTAGGAAAACTTTAACATATCCGTATTCTCATTTTTTGTATGAAAAAAGCCCCTTTGAAATTTTATTTCTTAAGACATTATTTAAATTAATCAATATTAAAATCGAGAAAGGAACATTGTGATTATGTACATCATAAAAGTCTGTGATATCAATTTTCCTAGGAAGAAAAGTCCGTTTAATTATTAAAAAAACACCCATATGTTGATAAAATAGTGAAATATTAATGTACAACTGTTAAACAATTTAAAAACATGTAACAATTAAAGATTCCATTGTTACATGTAAATTATTTCTTTCATTACAGAATTTCCTATAAAAATAATGGACATGGACATTTTTACCTAAGAATATTAATGACCTGGACATGAATTCCTAGGAAAATTAGTCTGGGCAGATAAATTTTATTAAAAGATTAATGCACAACTGTTAAACAGCATTGAAACATAATTAAAAATTCAATTGTTTACATGTAAATGATTGTCTCATTACAAATTGTCTTATCAAAATAAAGAACATGGTAATGTTTACCTAGGAATATTAATGACCTGGACATGAATTCCTAGGAAATTTAGTCTGGGCACATAAATTTTATTGAAAGATTAATGTACAACTGTTAAAGTTTAAACAACATTAATACATAAGAATTAAAATTCCATTGTTTACATGTAATTGATTTCCTTTATTACACAGTTTCCTAGTAAAATAAAGGACATGGACGTTTTTACCTAGGAATATTGATGACATGGACATAAATTCCTAGGAAAATGAGTCTGGGGACATAAATTACTGACATCGGACTAAATATACTAGTAAATTCTGTAACCATGGACTTTTTATACTAGTAATATTTGTCCACCCGGACACATTTTACCAGGACTAATTTATCACTTAAAGTTGTAGTGATTATGGTAACAGAAAAACTCATGAAACCCTCTCTGTTCTATAAATAGTACCTGTTTACACCGTTGATAAGTACAACCTGTTATACATTTCATGCCATTTATAATGTTATATGTGGAACCGAAACAAGTGCCGGGTGGAGGAGGAGCACATGGTGGTAATGGTCCACAAGGATCTTTCTCTGTAAAAATTATATGAAACAATTTAAAGATTCATTCAGTATATGGATATGCCTATTAATGCCTTGTTTATATGTGTGTTTTTGTTGTCAGAATTAAATGTTTTACTGTACGGATTGTTAGTATAGATGTATGTTCTTTTATTTACCATTTCTTAGTGTAAAAGTATATATTAATATAGGAAAGGGCTGATCAAACTCGGTAAAATTTAATGCACCCGAATTTCCGAGTTTAATATTTTATATTCGCAGGAAGTGACGTATCTTGGAAATTCTGGGAAACCATTTTGAAATCAAAATAAATATTTGCCCATCTCAAATGGAATCGTATCTTATTTTATCATTTCTTTTGGATATTTCTGGAAATATTTTGCACCAATAAGCACAAAAAAGAACTTTTCAAAACATTATAACCGTTAATGAAGATTTAATGCCAAAATTGGGTTTCAAAGTTCCCCCAAAATTCTCTCTCAAAGTCCAGATGGAAAATAGCTTAATTTATTGCGAAATGCGATTAGGACCAAAATAACTAGCTGGGATGTAAATTTAAACTTAAAAATAACATTGACATAGAAACAAGATACCAGCAGACTTCATCTGTATACATCATGTATACGAAAACAAAACCGTGTACATGTTATTTGTGCAGCAGTTGCCAGGTGGAGGTTTCACATTATTCTATGAACACAAAAATCTTTAAATGGCCACGTGATGACAAAAAGTAAATCCCAGGGACTGATTTATACTACTACTGCAATGTTCCGATAATTTTTAGGTTGGTCAGGCATCAGGCTGCTGGTTTAAAACATTCGTCAAAAGGAGCAAAAACCATGAACATAATTATAAATATGAATTTAATTTAAAAAATCCCCAACATCATATCTTGACGATTTATATTGTGTGGCATTAGTTTACTACAACTTTTATTGTTTGGGTACTTTTTAACTGTATCATACTTTATATGGGACAGAAGGAAGTGCTCCATGTATTAGACTTATCTTATCGGTGCCATTTTAAGTGGTTACAACGTATGAACTATTCCAGCGGTAAAGTTTTGTATCTGGACTTCATCGGATTTAAAAAAAAACTTTCTTCTGAGTTATAACACTGAACTGTTGAATGAAAGCAGCTTTGCAAGCATACCTTCATGTACACTAAATGTATCAGTTTCGAATATATGTGCACATAATGAGAAAAGCTCTTGTATAAGTTTTTTGGTGGATAGTTGTCAGGTTGGTAAGTATACTAAATAACCGTATTAATAATAACCGCTTAAAACAAACAGTAAACAAAAAGACTATACTTACTGACGCCGTTACATAGCACCTCGCATTCTGTTTTTGTTCTGAAGTTATTCATGTTTCCATTCAATCCATCATAAATAAAACTTTCACATTGCATCGCGTCAGCATTGTAGAACCATCTTTGGATAGTTACTCCACCACGCCCTCCAAATTGCGGCAAAGTACATACTTAAATTAATAAAAGATAAATTAAATGCGTCGGAATCGCTTTTCTAATTTACCTTCATCAGGAGCACCAAAAAGCCGACTATTTGAAAGCAAAGGTTGTATAAGAACCGAATCAGTTGAAGAGCTATATGACCACAACGAACCTAAAATTAATAGCCACAGCCATCTACGGTCACCTTTGCCAGAGGGAGTTAAAACCTTAGTTTCTTAGTAATTTCCAAATTATCAACTGTAACAGAATATATAGCTGTAACTGATACATTCAAAATAAGAAAAACACCCCTTCATCTGATACTTATAACAGCAGGTGTCGCTAGAGGCGCAGGAACTATCTTTTCGGAGCATATTAGTACATATTTTTTGATCGGCTTATGTAGCTAAATCATTATTATTATGACACTTGTCATTTGACGAAGACTACATGGTGAACATACATATCCTTTGTTTGTTTTTATTATGTCGTTGGATTTTCGCTTTAAAGACCTAGTCACAGAGTTTGTTATTCAAAATCATTGACTGCAAAGCAAAGACAACAGATGCATGCATTATTGACACATGTAGCCATACAGATAATTAATTTAATGAAAACAACACACATCCGAATTTTATGAGTCATTTAACTTATTATGAACAATTAATACGGCCGCGGTGATTTGCATACAGATATAAACAATATTGATTGATTGTTGATGTTTAACGCCACTTTCAGCATACTTGGGTATATTGTTGTGGTGAGTTTTTGTTGGTGGAGGAAGCCGGAATGCAGAGTGAGAATCAGCGACCTCTGGCAGGAAAATTGACAATCCTAGGCGTACTTAAGGTTTAATTCTAACGCACCTGCGACTTGCAGGGTTCGAACTCACAACTTCAGTAATAAAAAAAGACGAATTAATGAAACCACGGAATAAACAATTAGTTAATTAACAAAACTTGATTTCTAACGACATGACATATATATAAACCTCGTTTCTTGCAGACAGTTTTACATTCTTCTTTCGTTTTGAAGTTGTTTTCATTGCCGTCACATCCACCATAGTAAAACTCTCCACACATTCCAGATCTTACGTCATAATAAAACCTTTTCATCCGGGCGTTACACGGTCCTACAACTTTTGGTAGGTCGCATACATTATCTGATTGTTGTGCTTCAGCTGTCTATGATGCAAAAAGAAAGATATAATTATAGAAAATACAAATAATGTGTCTATTAAGGGTTTCTTGTAACAAGTGATTGGCTGAAACTTTAAAACACTAAATTAGTAATAAATATATCTATGAAATTTTTTCCGGCAATCTTTAAAGATATTCACGCTGAACAATATAGATTTAAATCACTCTTATGTACAACAACAAAAAAAAAAACAAAAAAAAAAAACCAAACTGCTGACGATGCAAAACGACAATTATAGACCTAACCGATGGAATTATAGCCAATTACATTATAAATCTCAATAACATTTTCTCGGAACCCGGAGCAGAAGTGGGACAGGGTGCAAGCCACAACAAATTACCAAATCGATTTTAGTACAACTATTTCCCGGTATGACAAAACGTGTAACAATTCAAAAGAGAAAACTAAAGACCTAGTTTATACTAAAGCAATGGACAGGTAGACAGCAAAAGATTTATTACATGGGACATTCACATACAGAATGTGGCGAGTTTAAATATGTTTGTGAGCTCTCAACATTTCTCTAACAATGGTGTACAAACATTAAATAAAACAAACTGTAATTGTAATTGGAAAGGGCTTGTATTTGTGGGTTTTTAGTACCTTATAATATCTAAGATACCCATGTGAAATTAAGCTTGAAAGAAAATCTGACAACAAAATTTGCACACTAGAAACTGGTGCAATCTTTAATAGTATACGCGTTAATAATATTTCCAGATGTATTTTTTGACGCCTTAATTATTTCACATAAAATGTCAATACATGGTATTAATATCATTAACTTGATTGTTGGAATCACACATTTGCAGCTTTGCAATGTTCAAACTTACCAAAGTTGAGAAAAGGAAGATCACTAATGGTCCAATATACATCCTAATTGACCAATATACAATAACAAATTAAGATAAATATTCACTTTCCAACAAAGTACTTTATAATCAGTTTCACACAAAGTTAATCCCTTTTTGCAATGTGTTGTTCCAATGTGCACTCGTATAAAAACCACTAGTGGTTGTTTGAAATAATTACAAAGATTACGTATTTGTTTATGTCTTAGTACGCAAATGTGGTTATATAGATTGATAACTGTTTTTCTTTTAGATGTTTTGTAATAATATATTTATTAATCATAACTTCAGTTATAATTTGACGTAACTACAATAAGTGAAGATAATCTTACATGAATAAATATATAGATATATGATAAACTGTGATGTTATGATGAATAAGAGACGAATGAAGATATTAATCAAATATTAAGGTTTTAGACAGACATATTTTATTTTTTTCTATTTAATTCATTCACAGTATTTATAGACTCGGGACGATTTAATCTTGATATATTTTGACATATTGTATATTTGATGAAACCTGTTTCTTGCTGAAATTTAAGTGTTGTCCTCTAGATATCTTTGATCTATTTTGTCTTTTGGTTGCAGTCTCAACTCGTCTACCTAACCCGTATCTCTGTTTATTCATATGACAAAATCCCAAAAAGGAAAAATTACAAAAACCTTGTATGCAGTTTAGGATGTTAGGATAAGATGGAACGATTTAATTTACTTGTTGTAGGAAACAGAGCTTGATACATCATGCAGCTTCCGCAAAAACTTCGATAATTTCAAATTTTCTGCAAACCTTTCTTATGAGGGTTTGTCTATTTCTTTGGTGAATGTAATTGACATATGTTCATACTCCCACAGTAGATGAGAGGAAATTACAAACTCACGTTACGCTGTAGTTTATCAATATATTTGAATATCTGATCCGTGTATGTATTTATACTATACATTTTTGGATATGTTATACACCTACAATTACACTTACAGGCAGAATTTCAATCTTGGGTCGTCTCAAAATGTAAAGGTGATTTCTTTATTTGAACAACAGAATTTTGAAGATATATATATATATACACTTGTAGTAATGGTGTTACACAGGTTAAACATGCTATAAATGTACGTACGGAGTATGATAGAATAGACAAACATCATTTAATAAATTTTTAATGAGACATGCAATCAAGTTTTCGCACTTGTCGTTCAGCAAGATTTAGTATTAAGAAAGGGGCGATCGACTAAAGAGTATGTTTAAAATGTTTTTAATTTATGCTAAAACATATATTTCCACTTTCAAAAAAAGAGGATGAGGGAATCTAGCGGATTGATTTTTAAGACTAATTTTCATGGCATTTCACTCAAGAAACTGAGTACTTCTTTTTATGTTATAGGTACGATGGTATCCTTCTTATCATATGTTTTTGCAATACATGGCGTTAGTGTTTCGACTATCAAAGATGAAATACATTCGTGGATACCTATTTGCAAAGAAACATATAGCCGTCTTATTCATTTATCTTCTTTCGATGAATAGCAGATTTAACAAGGCGGATGGCAAAAACTGTCGTTGACAGTTGGAGCTATGGACGGAACTTGGAGCGAAATGTATCAGCAGTAACGGAACAACAGGAACAGTATTTCATTGAGTTAGGAGACAGACTAGTTGTAACATCAAACGAAGGCAGGATATGTAACATTGAGTGTGGATTTATCAGACCTCAAACCGATGTTCAGCAATATATGTTGAAGAGACATATTGGACAAGAACTTTCCCAGCTAACTTGTTTTTCTGGGCTACAAAATATATCTAAGTAGAAATCCAGCATTGACACCTTAAACCAGACAACAGAGTGTTCGAAATCGTCAGAACATGCCTAGTAAGTGTAAGCAATTGAATAGACTTATTACACACTAAAGAGTTGAAGTTGAACACGTCATCAGAGAATTAAAATATACAAAGATATGGGGCGTCAACAACATCGATTATAATCTGTTGTGTCGATATGCGATGCATTTGTGTGGCGTCGAAAAATGTATTTACATAATAACAAATCATTTGGTATTACTGTGTATCTCTATTGTTGTTTGTAAAGATTATATTTTGAGACGACTACTTATTGTAATCGTAAGTCTATGTTTAATCCTAGGTGTTGACCAAGGTACCGCAAATGTTTACTAGCATACATTTGTACCTGGTTTAATTGAAGTACATGTACCATATTTCGAATTCATTTGTGCATCCTATTGACGAGTTATTAAAAAAAATCAACGATAAAAAGATTTCCTCAAAAATTGGTCCATATAAATAGACAGTGCTTTGTTCAGTTCCACTAAATCCGAATGCTCCGTGTATTTCTATTTTCTTTTTCATCTCTATGTGTTATCATAATATGAAACTTAAGTATGAAATAATTCTGAAGGAATCTGATTTGAACATTGGCCAATAAAATAAGATGTTTTTCATATATATAAACATATATAGTAAGTTGTCATGTCGTATCGGGCGTTTGTACATTCCAAAAAGATCGCCACTGACTTGAACACGAAAAGTAAAAGCACATGATTTTGAAAACATGGTCAAAATGTGCTCGCTATAACAGGAGGACTAGGTACGCCTTTCATAACATGAAACATAAAAATGTTAACTCTGAAAAAAATGTGTAACCATACAGGTTGAATACTACGCGTTTTTTTTTTAAAACTCTGTAACTGTTTATTTTCTTCAATATTTTTATATTTAACTGTTATTCTATCATATAATAAGAAGTGGTTTAATTTTTTGAGATTTACAATCCCACACCCTCCAGCGGGCAATATTCTAGAGTGTAGAAATTTGATCCAAACTCTCTGACCCTCTTCCTTATTCACTATACATTTATATGGGTCATCAATGTTATACGCTATGTGCTAACTACGAACTCTGGTTAAAAGTGTGCCTAGCTCTGTGTGTTAAAAATAAGCATTATTTGTTAAAATAATCTTTTATTATTACTGTAATGTTTCGTTGGAGTGCTGTCCGATGTTGATCCGGTCCATATCACTTTCCATAAAATTATTCAATCATAAAAAATACAAAATAACATGTGTAGCATTATAAACAATGTTAGTGTAGGACTTTGTATTGTTTATTTGTCAGGATCTACACAGAAATTCCTGCAAGAGAACCGACAGCACTTCCGTTTACCGTCACATTGGGTGTCACGTTCACATTCAGATTTCCTTAGATAACATGTACGTTGAACAGTTAAATGACTAGGATCATTTGGACATTTCCCAGGCTTGGGATCTATAGTAAATGGAAAAATAAACATTAAACAAAAATATTTCTATTAGAAATAAAAAGAAGGGGAAAGATGATTAAATTCATTAAATTATTTATTTTAAAACGATGTCCGGAATAGTATGTTTTGCTCGTTGATATATTTTTAAATTTTGTACATGTATATATATGATTCGATTTGAAGGAGTATGGACTGTTGTACAGTACAATATTTCTTATAATATCTGGTATGTCTTCTTTGTATCATTGTATAATTTGATACACTTATTATTTGATGTATTAAACGAATCATGCAGAAGTATCTCACCAGCATAACATGAACATCACTACATGCTTACTTTTCCCGATTAACCAATTAGACCTTTTTTTTTTTATTTCAGTCCACTATTATAACATCCCTAATGTGACCCATTGCTATATTTTCGACAAGAGTAACACGACGGGTGATCACGTGTGTAGCAGGAAGTGCTGATCCTTCTATATAACATAAATGCTCCCCTGTGTTTGGTAGGGTTCGTGATGCCCTATCTTTATTTTTCTGTCTAATGTAGTTTTTGTTGTTTGTCTTTTCGGTGTTTTAACGTTTTGGCCATGGTTCTGTCTGTTCTTATTTGACTCGAGATATGTCATTGCCTCCTTGATATAATATCTTCCCTTTTTGTATTGTCTCTTTTGTTTCGCTTAGATCGTTTTTTGTGTCTTTAGTCTTTGTTTGGTGTTTTTTATTCGTGCTTTCTGCGGATCTGATACGTCGAGCTACTTCCATTTGATTTTACAGTCCGTTCTTATGTTTTGCTGTTACGCTAGTATCATAGTTAAGGAGGGGGAGTTGAACTCTCGAAAACAGTGGTAATCCCGATAAATCATATGACCCATTCCCAAGTTAACTTTCTCTTATTATATGACAATCGACCAGTCGTTTTTTTCAGGATCAAGTACGACCATTTTTCTAACCCACTTATTTCACATAAAAATGAATCAAATTAATAAACGTTATTTTGTGTGGACTTAATCAGTCTACCCTCTTTTTCGTGCCAATTCATAATAGGCCCTCTCGACAAAAGCAAGATATCAACTACCTAGAACTGGTGTTGGATCTCGGCAACATCCGGAGCAACACATCTTTTTTCCATTACATTCTTCGTCAAGCATACAATTAGATGCACATGTAACTTGTTGATTGTTAGGACAGGATCCCTGGAAAATACTTTGCATGAATTTCAAACATGTATTTTAGTTTCATATATATGTATATGTTTTATTATTTGTTGATATTACACTGCCAATGTGTTTTAAATGCAGAGACATCTAGCAACGAATTCCACTACAACATGTAACGTCGCCTTGACCTTTTAATACTTAAAGATGAACGTTTTCGCTCAATGTTAGAGGTCGCACTGTGATTTTGAGATGAAGAAAAGAAACGAAAGAGTTATAACTTTGCTTTTGGGTTTTTTTCATGTCGTTGTAGTGATTATGGTAATAGAGAGACTCATCAAACCCTCTCTTTTCTATAAATAGTACCTGTTTACACCGTTGATAAGTACAACCTGTTATACATTTCATGCCATTTATAATGTTATATGTAGAACCGGAACAAGTGCCGAATGGAGGAGGAGCACATGGTGGTAATGGTCCACAAGGATCTTTCTCTGTAAAAATAATATGAAACAATTTAAAGATTCGTTCAGTATATGGATATGCCTATTAATGTCTTGTTTATATGTGTGTTTTTGTTGTCACAGTTAAATGTTATACTGTACGGATAGTTAGTATAGATGTATGTTCTTTTATTTACCATTTCTTAGTGTAAAAGTAGATATAAATATGGGAAAGGGCTGATCAAACTCGGTAAAATTTAATG